CTTTCTTTCTTTCTTTCTTTCTTTCTTTCTTTCTCTGTGGCAAATAAATATCATTAGCAAACAAATAAATATTATTGGATGCCCCCCAAAAAATCATTATCACTATCTGTTTTTACCCCTTTTGTTTTTTATTTTTGGCAGTCTTGTTTAATGTTAATATAAAGCAAATCTGCATATTTTCCAGTAAAAACACATGTGTAATATATGTTCGTCTCTTATGGCTCTCAGACATCTGACGTTTATTCTATGTGGCTCTTACGTGGAGAGCACGTTCCCCCCCCCCCCCCCCGCTAGAACATCCGTAAATCATCCACAGTTTCTGGATCCGAAAGAACAAAGGACATGGGACTGTTTACTACAGCACAAGCACTTTAATCTCGGAAAGAACACTTGCAGTCACTTTCATTCATTATTAGAATGGACTGTTGAGAGTGACAATGAATTGCTTATTGTGATTAAGAGATGTACTGTTGTTTAGACATATGCACTCAGGGGTCATTTTGTAGAAAAGGAGGTTCAGGAGCACATTAGCATAACTTGTTAGCATTACTTATTTGCATATGCCACACCCCCTGACATCACCGGAAGCGTGTCAGAAGGCAACACCCACCACTAGACTCTTTGGGATTGCTAGCTATTGGGGGGGGCGTGCAGATCTGTCCTCGCAGAGGAGGGAGAGCTTGTACCTGAATAAAACTTGGTCTTAAAGGTGCCACTGGACTGTTCTGGACCAGGGGGCCGGGTGGGGGGCTCTACAACTTACCTGGCTGCTTCTTGCTCTGACTGAGGGCTGCTGGGAGCAGGGGGTGGGGCTTGTTGCATGTGCCTGCCCCCTGGGCTCTTTACTGCCGGAGCTCCGCTCCTGTGCGCTCCTGCAGGAAATGGCCCCTATTGAGCTCAGGATTGGTAGCTGAGACCATCAGAAGGAATCCGGAGCTTTGTGCAGAGAGAGATCTTTCAGCTAGCAGGTACTGGGAGATTCTTTAAGAAGAGATAAACCTCTCCAGCATGGAAACATGGGCACTCACCAAAGGAGAACCTGAGATCTGCCTCTCCAATATTACGGTCAAAAATATTGTTCTCCTAAGGCTGGGGTGTCAAACATGCGGCCCGGGGGCCGATTCAGTCCCTCGGAGGGCTTCTGTTAGGCCCTCAGTGGAACTAGCTGTCTTCTGCCTCTTCTTCCAGTTCCGCTGCTGCTGCGTCATCGTAGGTTTGCACCTTACAGATCCACACCTGAACAGCATACTCAAAATGGCAACAGCACTGATATTTTGATGCAGTAATTCAGAGCAAGTGTTGTGTCAGTTATCAGACACGGTTAAATAAAATATTGCAGGAGTGCTAATGTTTTAAGCGTGTTTTTAAGTAAAAAAAACCCCTTTGTGTTTGCAGATTTGCTTTATATTAATATAAAATTATAAAAATATCAAAAAACAATATATTAATATAAAATATGCAGAATTGCTTTAGATTAACATTAAACGAGATGGCCAAAAATAAACTTTATAAAGTTTATCTCTCCGCCACTGTTCCCTCTAAGCTGAGTTAGTGTGAGCTAGCTCACAGTTCTTTAGCCCTCCGGCTCACACATTTTTGTCTTCGCTCAGGAAGGAGGGCTCCAGAGCAAACTAATTTAGGCAGCAGCCAAATCACTTGC